GTGGGTGAGGAATTGGTTAGATGGTCGCATCCAGAGGGTAGTGGTCAACGGCTCAATGTCCAGATGGAGACTGGTGACAAGTGGGATCCCGCAGGGGTCCGTATTGGGACCGGTACTGTTTAATATCTTCATCAATGACACAGACAGTGGGATCGAGTGCACCCCCAGCAAGTTTGCAGATGGCACCAAGCTGAGTGGTGCGGTCGACACGCCTGAGGGATGGGATGCCATCCAGAGGGACCTGGACAAGCTGGAGAAGTGGGCCCGTGTGAACCTCATGAGGTTCAACAAGGCCAAGTGCAGGGTCCTGCGTCTGGGTCAGGGCAACCCCCGGTATCAATACAGGCTGGGGGATGAAGGGATTGAGGGCAGCCCTGCCGAGAAGGACTTGGGGGTACTGGTGGATGAAAAGCTGGACATGAGCCAGCCTTATCTAGATACAGACCTTCATGAAGTTTGCTGGAACTTCACATCTTTCAGACTTCTGTCTCTCTAGCAAACTTGGTTAAAGTTGGCCAATGGATTCAAAAGTTACTGGGAGGTGGAGGTGACAGGTTGGCATGTGGGCAGACAATGTAATTGCATACTTTTTTTCCAATGAATACCAGGCTAAACATAACCAAGGTACATATAGATAGTGAAGGAATATGTCCTGAATCAAGCTCAGCTGTAATAGAAATGTCAGTTATCTGTTGCCTGCACCTTCTTTAGAAGTTAGCTAACCAGTCCATTTTCCATCTGCTCATAAGTGCAAGATAAACTTTTGCCACTTTTTAGGAATAGGCAAGAAAATGTAACTTTTTTCCAGCTGGATCAGTTTATCTAGACTGTGAAAGATTAAACACCAAGAGGATACTGCCAGCAAAGACAGAGAGAGAAAGCTGCTTACTTCCTGGTAGGATAATGAGAGTGCAGCAGCGGAGGTGTGCATTTCAAGATCACAGCAAGCTGTAGTTATTCAGAATGGTACCACAGCATATGACACATATGCTGTAACCACATGGAAACCATGGCATGGGAGGAATATTGTAGGAGGGAGATTGTAAGGTATAGCAAGAAAAAAAGACCTCAGCAAAAACAGGAAAATAAATTTGTATTATGTAAAGGAGATATGACACAGTTGTGCTGTTCAAAAGTTATTCCTTATATAAAAAGAAACATTGGTAATAATGAAAACCCTTTCTTAGAAGAGTAGGCGCATGAGCTATGGTAGGTAGGTAGGTGGGAGGAACAGTGTGGGTTGTGAGACCAATATTAGACTTATACTCAGAGAGGAAAAGTCCCACAAGATGAAAAATCCCTTCAAAAACAACAGTGAAAGCAAAAGGGAACATGTTTTTAAGTTGTTTGCTCTGCCAAAGATGAAAGTGAAGCCAACTAGAGACTGCATACAGAAAACAGAGAAAGAGAGTAGCAGAAAGAAGTGCAGAAGATTCCTGACAATTACCGCTGCAGAAACACCGCATTCACAAGGTGCCTTGCTCTTCACTGACAGAAAAAACATAATTAAAGGAGTGAAATACCACCCAGCTTTAAGGCGTTAATAATGTCCTGCAAGGTCAGCTAGAAAGTCCACTAGTGTCAGTAAAAGGCTGTCTGCTGACTAAAGTGGCTTTTGGCTCATTTCCATAAAGCTCTTACTCAGGTGTAAATTGAACTCAAGTCAACAGTAAGCCAAGGAAATAACTTGTTATCACACATTACACAATTGCTTGATGACCTATATTCAGTGAGTTAGGGGCCCTAATTTAGTCTCTGGCCGACATGCCAGCAAAACTCTATCACAATTCTCAGAGTAATCAGGGTAGCTCTGGGATGAACAAGCAATGTCATGGTCAAGGTCAAGTCATGCTACTAAGAAAGTATGACAAAGTCTGCAAAAAAGACGTAGCTTAACAGAAGACTTCAATTCCCAGAGCAAGCACTCTTGGCTAGTTCTCACAAAAAAAACCCCCAAATTATCATGTTCAGCAGAAAGGAACAAAAGCAATGCATAATTATGTATTATACAATTTGTCTCTGAAAGTGGAAAGGTTTCCCGGGAAGAGATATTTCTATAAAGTATCATCATAGATTAAAAGAAATAATTCTCCTTCATCCCAATTTATGCTGAAAAGTCATTGAAAAAGAAAAGTTATTTCATATTTTGTCCTCTTTTTTGTTTCACTACCATTTCCCATTTCTCCCTTCCTTCTTCTACTCTGTGATTTACATCCTACTTCTGCATAGCTCCTAAACTTACATGAATTTTACAGAGTGCAGCTTAAAATTAAGCACATTCCTAAAAGCTTTCCTGAATAGGAAGGGATTAAAAAACATATGTGAAATGAAGTATTCGTACAAGCACTTTGTTGAATTACGATGACTTCAAAGCTGAACCCAAAAGCTTCTGCGTCCAGCCCCTCTGGTCTAACATCCTCTGTGGGCGAACAGTGACATGCAGGACTTTTTATTTTTAATAATTCCATATTCTTTTGCAAATCTTATATCTACAGAGAACAGAAATGACCAAAAGCAAATACACTCCTTGTGATGCATTGTACTTCACACATATGTTACGGAACTATGGAACATGTATTTCTAAAGTATCAAAAAGAATAAGCTCTGTGCCTGATAGCGTGTTCATGCATGAAGCATGGCTTTATGGAGTTTGTGGTGGTACATAACATTTATGTTGACCTTGCAGAGGTTGCAGTAACTGATCTCAGAGGAGGAGTGTTGGCTCAGGAAAGGATGTGGTAAAGTCTGCTGGATGATGAGAGGAATCACTGGATCCCTTGAGCAAATGCCAACTAGCTTATGAAAATCCCTGCTGAAAATGAGACTGCTTTCTCCTTTGGACACTAATGGAAAGACAAAGCAGAAGCAATTCCTGGTGTCCCCTGAGACCAAGGCAGGCAGGCTGCTATGGGGAGCTGCAATAAGCATGTTTTTGTCTTCTGGTCTATTCATCACTGCTGTCAAGAGCATGACATTCTTAACAAGGATCAAACGCTTTTCTCTAAAATCTATTCCTCAGATAAAGTCTCTGGGAAAAAAATGGGGTAGAGGAGGACAAGGAAGGAGGGGAAATTAATGAAGGAAATGCAGAAGGAGTCTTTTGTCACTAATCACGGATGCTAGAAGAGATACAGCTCTTTTTTTTCCATTTTAAAGCTACAGCCTTAGGCAAGTTATACTAAAATTAGGTTATTTTTGGTTCAGTGAACTATGATTCACTATTATAGCTACGAATTTTTCAGAGGACAGACAGAAACGATTGTTCATTTAAATACACACTATTTTTTTTAAGGATATAATTTATTTTCTTGCTTTAGGGGACCTCTCCATTTTAGAATAATTTAAAACAAAACACTAATACCAAAATTGTCCATTTGTGCAATTTGCATGAGCATTTGGGTGACTCTTTTAAAAGGCCCACATAAAAGAAAAACACAAAGTGACATTAATAAAACATAAATTCATCATTCCTCTTGACTAAAGCTTTCATAAATGATTTAAAAAAAATCAGTTTTGGTTATATTTCTCCAAAAAATACAGTGCAATTCTGAGTGAACTAAAGAGTGGAAACCATGGATTTGTTTATTTTCAGACAGTCATTGTTCTTTTTAATTAAATGTCAGATGCTCTCTGATGAGTTGCGAAGACTAGCTTAGGGCTAATTTCACACGTTGAATATATATAAATACACAATTATGCAAAGCTTTCGCAGGCCAAAGCTAAAATTCAGCAAAATATTTAAAAAACAGACCTATTGTACATACCTGAATACTCACTTAACACTAACAGGTTGAAATACTTTGCAAATTCAAAGTGCAGGTGGTAGGGTCCCTTTTCAGAATAACATTGAAATACATTCCCAAATCTACTCTTGGTTCAGAAAAAAAACAACCAAAAATAAGCATGACCGAACACACTTGTTTAAATTTTTTCCTTAAATACTTTCCTTCCTAGAAGTAAAGAGTAGAAACAAATAGGAATAGAAAATATACGTCTTAATGGAGAGCTCTATATGATGTCGTAAAACATGAACTTACTTGAGGGTGGTGAGCTCTGTAAGGGATGGCTGGGTGGCCTTGAGATAGCTCTCTCTCCGTGCAGCAATCTTTGGAGATGGCTTCGGACTTGTGTCTGAGTCTCCACTGTCATCATCCCCCATGGCTTTGATGTAACTGCCACTACGCATTCGTCGGCAGGGAATCTCATCATCTTTCCCTCGTGGAGTGTATCCAGTCCATTCGTCTTGAGGAACCTGAAGTGATAAACACAATTCCTTTATTAGTACACTCTTCTCTGATGTAATTGCACAGCAAGATTTGACCGTGCTAAGCCACAACAGAGCCATAACAAAAACTCTCATGGCCAAGGGCCCATCCTCAACCCCATTTGACTATGGGTTGATGTTTGCAGTGGAAGCCGGCTTCTCCCCCTCCATAGTCACAAGCACCTCTGGAGTTTGTTATTTTCCACTACTTATCTGGGAAGTTTCTAGCAAACATGCTGACATAGAAGCCCCAGTTAGGTCTAATACTGGGCTGGATAAATCTGTTTTTTTGGTTGTTTTCATTCAAAACATTTACAAACCAGATTAGGGTATTTTTGGTTCAGCTCAACATATTGAACACCTTTGGGGAGGCACAAAAGATGAAATACGAATCCCTATATCACAATCTTTTCAGGCAGCGTGTGCATAGCTACACTCACCACTATGATTTTGCTTCAAGATACATTTCAAATTAATGGAGCTATGTACCAATCATCACAAAAGTAGGTTTGCAAGTGTGAAATTATACTACTGTTGCTTCTATAGCATAATTAGAGCGACTGAACACCCACAAGCTTGCAGGGATCCTGCTTTTGAATTATGTTAGTCTGAATGTCTGTGTCATACAACCCTTTATTCCCTTCTTTTTCTTCTTCTTATTGATGTGCATTATTTCTCTTGATCTGAAGTAAGTGCTGTCCATTCTTTGCATTGGAAATCTGGAACACTGGGAATGTGCATTCACGAGATTTTGGGACGTAGCAGAGGACAGCCCAAGAGCATGGTGCTCTTGCTCACCCATCCTCTCCCTTCCTCTGCTCTTGGGGCTTCTGACCACTGTAAACAATACCCTTCTCTTTCCTGTAACAGCGGAAACAACATGCAGTAGAGCAGGGTCCTTGAAGGAGTTCCTCTGAAGTTATTTTGCAGAAACCCCATTTTTATAGTAAAGGTGAAACTGCAAAAGGGCTTTTTAGTTAAACATATTTTGTGTTATATTTAAAGTAGTTGTGAATTTTTAGTTTGCTACTTTTCTGATTATTCTTAGTCAATCAACTCCATAAAGCAAGCTATAGCTACAAAGCTCAGAAACCCTTACAAACCATATTAAACAAGGAGTCTCAAGTGTGGGTTGCTAAAATTTGTCCTGCAGCTTACGAATACCAAACTATTCATAAGCCATGCC